TTTGGACCATTGGATTCCGCTTCCGATCGGTCATCTGCTCTCGATCTCTGAGCAAGCTAATGAGCGAATGCTAAAGTACCGCAAGGCGAACCGAAAACGATTCGCCCTCGCTCGAATAACGAACGTAAAGCCTAAAAATCCCGCGCCCGAGGAAAACCCGGCTGACACTTCGGATCCGATACGAGTAGGGTTAATCCAGAAAGACGATTATTTCCTACGAATTAAACCCATCCCGTGGAAATCCGCAGAATGCGACATTGAAATTTGGGGAATTCCTTATAACGCAATTATAGATTCGGGAGCTGTTGTTTTGGCTATTTCACTAAGGGTGGTTGAGAGGGCAGGTAGAAAAAACAATCTGATCATGCTTGCCGAAAAAGATCAGCTCGTCTCGGCGAACGAAGCAAAGATTAAGACCAATGGGAAGAATGACCAATGTCGCCTTCCGATTAGGAAAGGTGCACGCATTGGGAGATGTTGTGGTACTAGACGTAAATACCTACGACGTTCTTTTCGGACTTCCCGTTCTCGTGGCATTACGAGCAAGCCTGGACTTCGAACGACGATCGATTATCCTCCGAAATACGGGAGGAAAACCTTATGATGTACCTATGAGGTTAACCCTTCGTACTACCACTAATGCGGTCCCACGGGTCTCTCCGATGTTAGCAGGAACTCTCCGTATGATCTCCTGGGAAGAATCCGCGGATGGCGAGTCATCAACGAATGATGCGGACAACAGTGATGAAGACGATCCGGAGATCTCGAAGCTAGCACGACAGCGTGTTTACTACCCGCCACCCAGAACGATAGCAAGAACGATGCATCTGACCAGTCGGAACATTCAAAGGACCAAGGCGATGATTTTGGGTGAACCCCTCGTACAGATTTCGAGGATGGTCGATTCCTTGGAACCCCCTCAAACCTTGTACGAAGGAATCACCCCTCTCCTCGCCTGGTACAGTGACAAAAAGCATTACTGCGATATTACGGATCTACCGAAGTCCCTGTTAACATCCGTCAAAGAAGTACGGTTGCTACGCTTGGGGGCAGAAGCCAGTTCTTTGGAACCCCCTGGGCGTCTCGAGGCAGAATCAGACGAACTCGGAATAAAGATCGAAACTAAAACTGTGCCATGGAAAGATATCTGTGACGGGATCACCTCGAAAGGGCACGCGGCCATTGGGGAGGAAGATGCCCAAATTATGGCCATGGTGTTTTCCTGGCGATCGGACCATTTGTTCATCTCTGCGCCACCACCCGACGTGGTGAAACAGGCACGCACGAAGCAAGTTGACATACGAATCTGGGGTCAACTTTTTGAACTGCACGTTCCACAGTATGTGCCTGATGAGATTCATCGGGTGATCGCAGATATTCTGACGGAATATCAGGGAGCGATTAGCGTGACAGACACTGACATTGGCTTGTCGTTAGTTATTCAACACGAAATTCAGATAGGAAATCATTCCCCAATCCACTGCAAGCCCTACCGATACTTCAAAAAGGCTCTCGAACGAATTCGGGAGTTCGAAGCCAGCGGGTGGATTGAACCCGCTACCCGACCATGGTCATTTCCCGTAGTGTTAGTGCCGAAGAAAAACGGATCAATTCGCATCTGCATCGATTATCGCAAGTTGAATGAAATCACGATTAAAGATGTGTATCCCCTCCCCCGAATTGATGATTTGTTGGATGCGATTGGTTGCGCCAATTATTTTAGCAAGTTCGATATTCGGCATGGCTTCCATCACATTCTGGTGAAGGAGGAAGATCGGCCAAAGACGGCCTTCGTGTTGTTTGAAGGCAAGTGGCACTGAGTTCGGTGTCCGATGGGGATTTGCAACGCGCCTGCCATGTTTCAGCGAGCGATGAACATGACATTCCAGAACTTCGTCAACAAGACGCGGCTAACATAGGGGATGATCAACTTCTGCGTGATCGTGTACATGGACGATATCCTTGTCTACTTGGAGACCTATCACGGGCATGCGCAACATATCGAGTGGACATTGGGAGCACTGAGAGATGTTAGGTTCAAAATCGCACTTGAAAAAAGCGAATTTTTCCTTTCGGAAATTTCATTCTTGGGCTACGTCATGACACGTGGAGGACTGCGGCCGGACTCAAGAAAAGTTGCGGCGGTAAGAGAAGCCCCAGTTCCCACATCGCCGACGCAGGTTCGAGCCTTCTTGGGGTTGGCATCGTACTATCGCCGCTTCATCAAGGGTTTCGCCGCGATTGCACGACCACTAACGAACCTGCTACGGAAGGACCATCCTCTCAGTTGGGACGCGGAGTGCCAACAGGCCTTCGCGACCCTCAAGGACGCTCTGGCGACGACTCCTATTTTGATTTGACCGGACCCCTCTAAGCAGTTCATTCTCATCACAAACTGGCAACCGGAAACTATCTCCGCTATTCTAGCGAAGAAGGGGAACGATGGTCGTAAACACGCCATCGAATACGCGTCACGCACGGTACCGGACGAGCGGAGAAATGACTCGGCGCCTCAAGGCGAATGCTATGCAGTAGTCTGGGGAATCCAGCACTTCCATCCGTATCTCTACAGACAGAAGTTTCGCCTCATAACAGATCACGAACCTTTGCTGGCATTGAAGAAGCTCACTAATTACACGGGCATGATTGGCCGTTGGGCGGTGCGACTACAAGAATACGACTTCGATATCGTTCATCGAAAGACAGAGCGACACGGCAACGCGGACGGACTGACACGTCTGCATCGACCTGCTAAAGTACCAAAGGGCGAGGAAATTACACCGTGGAAGGAGCTGGACCTTACAAACGAGCCTAAGTACGGACAAGTGGCAGTTCTCCCACGTGGCAAGAAGCAGAACAATGGCAATGGGTGATGGAGGTAGCCCCACTACCCCTCTTTCTCCCCTCTCCTCTTTGTCTCTCCTCTCCCTGCCTGACAAATTTTGATATTTTTGTGAAGCTATCTCCCGCGTATACTCGGTCTCCATGCGTCCTAACGAAGAAGGGTATGCGGAATGGATAGATTGTCGACAGTGTGTCGCACGAGCCCATGGCTCGTGCATCCAATACAGAAACGACAGTAGACCGTGGTTGTGCCCCTTGTGTCGGACTGACAAGATTCCGACCGAGGCTCGCTTTTTGGATGCCACGTCAGAAGGGTTGGAAAAGACCCGAAAGTTTAGAAGGGCCGAAGTATGGACTGATATCGCCTTGATTGCCACCTTAGTGGGTAACCCCCTCCAGGATTTCACCAAGGAAGATCGGAGGAGGGCTAACGAGAGGGCTCGGGATTATCGATGGATAGAAGGTAGGTTAGAGAAACGAAAAACATACGACAGTGGGATTTGGATGGTTGTACCGCATCCGTTCATGAGGTATGACTAGGTTAAGACGACACATGAAGAAACGGCGGCTCATTTCGCCGTACGGATCACGGAGTCGGCTATCGACAAAAATGAGTGGTACTGGTCCAATATCCGCAACGATGTGAAGTACATCGTCGCCAACTGTCAAGTCTGCGCCGCTTATAAAGCGCCGATTCAGCCGCCAAGATCGATAGTGCCAACGGTAGTTGAACGACCATTTCAAAGATTCAGCATGGATACTACCGACATAGTGGTGCCCCCTCGTCCTAATAGTTGTGAGTATTCAGTCCTATTGGTATTCGTCGACCATTTTTCGAAATGGATCGAGGCCTGTCCTTGTCGCACGCGACAAGCCGCTGAAATCGCACGATACGTCAACCGTTTCCTCGGGGTGCACCAGGATACAGAAGAGATCCTGACCGATAACGGGGCTGAATTTAGGGGAGAGGTACTGATGAATCTGGTCATACGTGGCGTCGCCATACAGAACACTGCACCCCACATGTCACAGTCCAATGGGCTGGTAGAAAACGTGAACAGGGTGATAAAGACAGCGTTGCGACGAAATATCGTGGCACGAGATCCAAGGCCATGGCCCGATATCGTCGACCACATCCTGGCGGTTCATCGCGGTACACCTCATGAATCGACGGGGCTAAGTCCCTTCCAATTAAGGACCAATAGCGTCGCTTGCGTTTCGATACCAAGCCTCCCGGGTGAATCTACACTGAACCGGCGACCCACCAGGGCCACGGCTCAGGACACGGCCAAACGACACTTAGAATTAATGGAACCGTCCCTGCCCAGACTAGCCCGAAAACGGCACAGAATGACCGAGTTGGCCCACGGCCGACAGGTCCGAAGCTACGAGGCCCGGAATGGGAACGTAGGCCCACGGCCCCAGTACAAATTAGGGGACATCGTGGAGGTGAGGAAATGTGCTCGCCAGGGTAAGCTAGCGCCACGATTCTTCGGGCGATTCCGCGTGATCGAACTCGAACCAAACGGCGTGAATACCGTGTAGCTTGCGCCTGAGATCTTCGGCAGCCGATCGGCTCGCCCGATCATCCGCCACGTGTCCTACCTTCGTCCTCTTCCTCCTTCCCCATCTTCGCACTCATCTGATTCCTCCTCCATTGCGAAAGAGGGCAACGACTACCTATCTCCCATCTCTCCGTCTCCTTCCTGTTCTTTCTCTGTTAATCCGTCACCATCGCCATGAGCTTTGCAACAGAGCAAGTGATCGGCGCGCGGCTACTTACTCCGCGGGGAAGAATTAGTGTCATACGGCAGGTGCAGCGGCCCCATCTCTGCTCTGATTTCCTCAGGTTCGCTGTCTTCTTCAGCACGGCGGCGATCTACGCGGCGGCGGAGTTCCGATTCACAGGGGAGGCAACTACGCGCGTTCTGGCCGAGATCTTAGCCTTCCGACGGCTATCCCGACCCGGGATTAGCCATATCGTCATCATTGTCGTCTTTACAGGGGATATCACAGCGATCCCGCCAGCGGTTCACTCCGACATCTATCGGACGTTGCGCACCTGAGCCGGGGAAGTGCGGGCAGCGTGGACAGATCTCCTTGCCCGACGAGGAGATACCGTCGTGTCGGTGCATGACACGTCTCGAGGGTCGTCAGCGATCGTGCTTCCGGAGCTTCGTCCCTTCGTGCCGTCCCAATGAGTTACGGTCGTGTCTCCTATTTCGGCCTCCCCTCCAGCATCCCCACCCTTTGGCAGTCTGCGCGGGCCCCTACTCTCTCCTACCGTATCAAGGAAAACAGTGTGCCGCTATTGAGAGAAGAGAAGTGGGACGTGTGGTGGGAGGACTACATCGAGCTCACTTTCTGTCTATTGGAGATAAAGTTCCGCTGGTCAGAAGCGGCCCCGTTTGGAGAAGGACCAGAGCACCCAGAGGACAGCGTGGAGCTTCTGATCATCCAAGCCTGGAGAACGGCGGAGCAGGGCGATCTGCTGGGATTCGTATACGGGAAGGTGGAGGAGGGCAATCTCACATTGATCACGGACGAGTTGCTGGTGTTTCTGACTCAGCTGGTGGATGATCTGCCCCTAGACATCTTGTCACGCAATGACGAGCAGCCTGGCACCCACGTGCTGTCTCGAACGCTCGAGCCACACCTTGTGTGGTCCACGTGTACGGAGATTGACGAGGACAATTGTCTCTATCCCTCCCAGGCGCTTTACTTGGAGATCGACGTTACCAATCTCACGTTTTGGGACCCGATCGCGAGGAGAAACGCGGCGCAGGACGATGAGATAGGAAGGGCAGAGGAAGAGGAGGAAGAAGAGGAGCCATCGAGTGAAGAACGGGACGATCCGGACTACATCCCGGAAAAAGAAACGGGGATAGTTAGCAGATCGAGCCAGCCGCGTAAAAAGAACGAAGAAGAGGAAGAGCAGAGGAAGCGAAAGCGCCAGGAGGCCGTGGAGGAAAAGCGACCCACGATAAACGTTTCTCCTATCGATCCATTGATCGGGGATCCGTGGCGTGATCCGGAGCCGCCAGAAGAAGAAGACAATGGAACCGCAGCAGAGGGATCGCGGAGAAGAAGAAGAAGAAGTGAATCGCCAGCTTCCTTTGGCTCCCCGTCCCGGTCCTCCATTCGTCTACATTAAGATCTCGGCGTTCGGGCTTCGTCCCAGGTTGTTCTCTAGCCGACCCCGTGACTACCTCATGCTTACCCGTCTTCCTGATAGACCCCCGTTCCCTGATGGTTGGTGTCCTTTCCCCCATCACCTTTTCTACCATCTCTACGCTACCTGCCTTCTAATCTCTGTTTATCCGCATGCCACCACCCGCTCTGTGGTTGATTCCTTTCTCCTTCATGTGCTCCTGTTTAGCGCAGACTGGCGGGAACATAACCACGTAGAAATATACTTTATTATATCTGGAACTATTCCCGCCTGCGAAAACTACGAAGATTTTTGCGCCGCCCTGCGACGGACCCTTTCTACCATCTACCCCGATTACATCGCCGTTTTTCGCCATCTTCATGAGGTCCCTCGCTTCCCCCGCATCCATCGCTCCTTTCACTACGCTACCCTTCCTGATTACACCTCTCCCGCCATCAATCGATTCATGCCCCCTCTCCCCCTTAACCATCCGCCACCTCCACCCTCGATGATTCAACTGCCATTCCCCGGGAACGTCTACGGTCTACCCTCCTTTCACACCCCCCCTCCTCCTTGGATTGTCAATAACCCTTCCTGAGGAAATAGTAGTAGAGCTTGCATGCCACGTTGGAAGACGTCCACACTCAATTGAACGGTAAGTGGCATAGAAAGAAGAGCTCCATGTGTCGGTCGATTAGAGAAATCGACACGTGTCAACAAGCAAGCAGGAGCTTGCTAATATTCAACGGAAAAAAAACTCGGGGGATTGCAGGGTTTGAGCAACGTTAGGGTCGCTGGAGCAACATTTAAAAACACGTTCTTGCCACTAGCAACATTGCATGGTTTGAGCAACAGTTGCCCAACAATGCTGTCTGAACTTCAACGTTTCTCACCACGTACCGTAACGTTGGGACAACGTACTACAATACTCGTGGAATGATTACATTGTCATGGGGAGAGAGAGAGAGAGAGAGAGAGAGAGAGAGAGAGAGAGAGAGAGAGAGAGAGAGAGAGAGAGAGATGACTATTGTACACACACACACACACACACACACACACACACACACACACACACACACACCATTGAAGTAGCGTGAGGCGAGTCGCGCGCTTGGAGACTTAGCTGTTGGCCGGTGCGTTGCTCAACCTATCAATGGAAAACTCTCTCTCTCTCTCTCTCTCTCTATATATATATATATATATATATATA